TCGTCGGCATCTACTTCATGCAATTGTCGGCTTGTAGGCTTTTCAAAGTAGCTGGTTCCTTCACTGAACGTTCTCCCGGCCAACGTGATCTCACCAAAGCCGCTGAAGAGATAGCGGCTCTCACCAGTGGTCAAGTTCAGGCTGGAGAGGTAGGACATCTCATCGTTTATATGCTGAGTTTCTGGTGCAGATCGAATGTCGGTCGAGAAAGATTTCTTGGGGCATGAAGGATAAGAACCCGATGGAAAACATACGCTTCTATGCAGAGAAAGGTGGATCCTGTTCAGCATTGATAAGAAGACTGCTTGTGTTTTGCAGGATCTATGCGGCTCAGTCGAACTGAGTTCCCTACTACATTACCTCGAGCTTTTGAAGATGCTGAGACTATTGTGTTCCTGAAGTCACAGGATTCGCACAAGAGACAATCTACTAGAGCTGCTCTTGACGAGTGGCTCAAGCAGCAAGTGAGTGAATGTTGCTCAGTTCGTTGATGGTAGGAAAAAATGTCTTCGCTGATTTTAGCCCGAGTCGGATCGTCTTAGTGATGCATCCCCAATGAAGATCGGTTCGCTCACTCCCCCATCGACCACTCAGAAGATCCTCCCACCTAATCGAGCACAGTTGTGAGGACATCTTACATAGTGCTTTCACTGTCGCAGCGGCATTCGAGCATCACTGCTCGTAATGATGTATTTTCTTGTTAGGAAACGTGTTTTCTCACTCATCACGCCGAATTATGAAAGCCCCAGTAGCCAACCCAAGAGTAACCCTGCGAGGAAAGCGAAACCCGAGAAGTGATCACCTTCTTTTGGAGAAGCGGATGTTGATTCTCTTCTTTGCATTCAGCCATTTGTCGTCGAGTACATTGTCTCTCTTGAAGAGGTGTTTTTGTGTTACTCTGGAATAGTTATCGTGCTGGATTCACTGTCGAGAACACCGCACACGAAAAATGAGAAAAATGAGCCTCGTTGGTTGTTGCGGTTTCCACTGCATAACTCAATCGTGATGGTGCTGACAGAGTAAAACAATTCAGGTCGACGACCAGATAAATCCACCTGATAAATTGTGACGACGTCACAATTTATCACATTGCAGCACTTAGTCGCTACGAAATGAACTATCTACTGCGACGTACGCATAAGAACGTGGAAAGAGATTATTAACTTTTCAGCATATTCAACTATCAATCACTACGAAATCAACTATCTATTGAAGTGTACGCATGAATAAGTGCAAGAAGAGCAATGCGATACGAACTTAGTGTGCGTCTGAACTAAAGAGCATTCTCAGTCTCTCACAGTAA